AGCAAACGAAAATATCATCTGAACTAAAGTATTTTTTACTCAGTAATTGTCTCTTTACAAATCGTTTAAGCTGCAATTGACTTTCGATTTTTTTGAAATGTTTTTGAATACACACTTTTGATAAAAAAAGATGAAGATAATAGATTAATTTAAATTTTTTTTATCATTTTCATTAGAATCAAAAAGAAACATATTTTGTTTGCTTTTTGAAGAGATTATTATTAAATTTTAATTTTAATTCTTCATATATCGAATGATTCTAAATAATATAAAACTAGTTTGTTTTAATTTTGTATATGTTGTATTTAAACAAAGTTTTCGTTAAGATCTTTCATTTTACTTGATAATTGAATTTCTTATTAATTCTATTTGTTATATTTGAAGATATGGATGTGGGTGCATCTGTGAGGAAGCCATATCCACACTTTTTCTTCGCTGCAGATAAAAATTTACTTATCTTGTGAACAGTTTAAATTTATACTCATTACACATTCGCAAATTAGATACATGGGTGTGGGTTAAGATAAGTTGAAACCACACCCATACCCACACCAGCAGAAATTTGTCATAGACGTCGATAATCTGAATGAATTTATGAGTTTTATTTTTGAAGATCCAATATGCGGGAAAATGTACAATCTGTGGAAAAGCAGTAAGAAAAATTTAATTAGCAGAGTTCTTTTTCAGGACTGCTTTTTTGACAATTCTTCTCAAAGACTTCGTCTTCAAATTTAGAGCCTCATTATTGGTCTTGTTTTCAAAGTTGCTTGCTCCTTGTCCACTATATATTGCACTTAATAGGTAGGAAATTATGCCTGTCATTGTATCACCCTTGGCAAAACTCTCCGCCCCTTGTTTCAGAAGACTTTCCGTTGTAACTTGTTTTGTCGTCCATTTACTTTTTGTATATTTCTCAAACAGAAATAGTGCTTCTTGTTGAGTAAATGTGGTGTCAGCAATATAGATACGATTATTTTGAGTAGCTTGTGGATGATGTAGTACAGCAACTACAGCTTGACCAATATGAGGAAGTGTGGTGCCAGAAACCAGATGTTTTCCTTCATCATATAGAGTAGCTATGCGGTTGGTGATATCAAAGCCAAGAAAACCATTTTCGAAACCCCAATCGAGGAAGATGCCAGTGATGATGAATGTATGAGCGATTCGTGCTTGGTTTTCTTTCAGAAAATAAGCAACAGCTCTTTTAGAAGCTAGAACGGGATTATTTGCTATAGTAGAATGACTAGTATCGATGCCGAATTCGGATGGAATGAACCATTTCACACCTGCATTAAGAGCTGCCTGGACTAGAGTTAAATCAAAGTTGACTGCCAAACCTTCACCGCCTACTGCTGATATCACCACGTCTTGACCACTGAGAGCTTTAACTAGTGCTTTGGTGTCAGAATAATCGGTCTTAATCAAATTAACATTGGAAGGAAACGTTGCAGAAGAGTTTGTGCGAGTGAGTACAGTCACAAAAAATGAGGAATC